GAGACCATCCATCGGGCAATAGTATCCTTAGACGTTGGATGAAAGGGTTTTGTCGTGGTGATGAAAAGTTAGGAATCAGATTCCCGGCGGCATTCAGTCCTGGCAAGATACCAATTGGGAGTCCAAACCAGGCACAATTTCTTGTGTCGTCTCTTGCAAGTGAGGTTATATCGGGAACGAATATGTCAGCAGGTCAGACAGTAGGCATCTGGTTTTTAGTCAGGAACCCAATGGTTGGGATGAGACAAACCCCTTGAGGCTCCCAGTGGATGTGACAATCGGCAATCGATAGGGCATGTAGCTCGCTACCTTGTCTCGATGTAACGACCACCAGAAGGAACGCCAGCTTGATGCTGAGATGGAGGTCAGATGAATCAGCCAACGGTTCGAAGGGGGATCGGCAAGAACGTGTAGAACGTTTCTGAGATCCCAGGATAAGATGAGGCGTTTGACGTGGGGACTCTCGACAAGCATTCCTTGAACAAACTGGTTGTTAGCAGCGTTGTTGGAGACAGTCCACCCATCGCTGAAGCCCAAGTTGACAGCTGCTAAGGCCGACAAATAAGAGCGGATAGTGGCAACCTGGAGGAACGAGTGGAACAGGTACATGAGGAAGTCTGTGACGGAGTACACAGGAGCTTCGGTTGGAAAAACATCGAGGTCATCACACTATCTAGTAAAATGTTGTAGTCGGCTGCCATGGACGCAGCGCCTCCAGAAAGGCCCCACGCTCTGAAGGATAGTTGGACAACATCCAGCACGTCAAGTGAGGACCCTCCGATGCTGGGTGGAGGATCCCCAACTTGGGCTGACGAAGGATGTCCTCCCTGACTGGAAGGACCAACGGCCATTGTACCAGCAATCTTGTCAGTCTTTAAAACCACGGTTGGCGAGGCCAGAAAAGGGGCAACAAGGAGGATCCGACATGGCTCCCATTCTATCTTGAACAGGACCCGCGGGATGAGGGAGACTGGAGGAAAGACATACGTCAGAAGGCCTGACCAGTCGATCTGTGGGGCGTCTGTCGCCCATGCCCGTTGGTGAGGGAGCCTGGAGCAGAAAGTCGGGAGATGGACATTGTCAGTGGATGCAAAGAGGTCGATAAGAGGATGCTTGATCTCCACATTGATCTGGCTGACATGTTCGGATGAAGAGTCCACTCCGTCGGTCTGACGGCACTCCGAAAAGCGCGTCTGCCATGTCATTGCTGGTTCCTGCTATGTGGATGGCTTGGAGGGTGACCCCTCGATCGTTCGTCCACATGAAAAGCTGTCATGCAAGGGCGCAGCGTTGGGGAGAGCGAGTGCCGCCATAATGATTGATCTACGCCACTGACCAATAGATCAGAAAATACTTTTTATTTGTACTCAAGAATCAAGTCAATTCACAAACGCGAAAGGTTACGGAACTCGACACTCCGAAAACACCATGAAGACACGTCCGTAAACGAAAGGCACTGAGAAAAGAACGATGAACTTTGCGGTAGGACCACAGTGCATTGTGTAGGGTCAAAGGGCAGAATACAAAATTAAGTCTTTTCAGCAAATTGTAATAGGCACTTGGGAAATTTGCATATGTAGGCTGGGCAGGGTTATGTGAAAGCAGGAAATTGAGAATTTTGGTTTTGGGAAATACAGGTGATACTAAAAGCAGGATTATAAGAGTTCTCT